GGTTCTCACACGATATTTACACAGTGAGAACAATGTCACAACTCTTCGAGTTTAATTCTTTTTATAAATGAACCTAATCACACAACCACCAAGTTGTTTTAATGAATGAACCTAATCACAGAACCACCAAGTTGTTTTAATAAATGAACCTAATCACACAAACACCAAGTTGTTTTAATGAATGAACCTGATCACACAATCACCAAGTTGTTTTAATGAATGAACCTAATCACACAACCACCAAGTTGTTTTAATAAATGAACCTAATCACACAACCACCTAGTTGTTTTAATAAATGAACCTAATCACACAACCACCAAGTTGTTTTAATGAATGAACCTAATTACACAACCACCAAGTTGTTTTAATGAATGAACCTAATCATACAACCTCCAGTTGTTTTAATAAATGAACCTACTCACACAATCACCAAGTTGTTTTAACGAATGAACCTAATCACATAACCACCAAGTTGTTTTAATGAATGAACCAAATCACACAACCACCAAGTTGTTTTAATGAATGAACCTAATCACACAACCACCAAGTTGTTTTAATGAATGAACCTAATCATACAACCACCAGTTGTTTTAATGAATGAACCTAATCACACAACCACCAAGTTGTTTTAATAAATGAACCTAATCACACAACCACCAAGTTGTTTTAATAAATGAACCTAATCACACAACCACCAAGTTGTTTTAATAAATGAACCTAATCACACAACCACCAAGTTGTTTTAATAAATGAACCTAATCACACAACCACCAAGTTGTTTTAATGAATGAACCTAATTACACAACCACCAAGTTGTTTTAATGAATGAACCTAATCATACAACCTCCAGTTGTTTTAATAAATGAACCTACTCACACAATCACCAAGTTGTTTTAACGAATGAACCTAATCACAGAACCACCAAGTTGTTTTAATAAATGAACCTAATCACACAAACACCAAGTTGTTTTAATGAATGAACCTGATCACACAATCACCAAGTTGTTTTAATGAATGAACCTAATCACACAACCACCAGTTGTTTTAATGAATGAACCTAATCACACAACCACCAAGTTGTTTTAATAAATGAACCTAATCACACAACCACCAAGTTGTTTTAATAAATGAACCTAATCACACAACCACCAAGTTGTTTTAATAAATGAACCTAATCACACAACCACCAAGTTGTTTTAATAAATGAACCTAATCACACAACCACCAAGTTGTTTTAATAAATGAACCGAGTCACACAACCACCAATTTGTTTTAATAAATGAACCTAATCACACAACCACCTAGTTGTTTTAATAAATGAACCTAATCACACAACCACCAAGTTGTTTTAATGAATGAACCTAATTACACAACCACCAAGTTGTTTTAATGAATGAACCTAATCATACAACCACCAGTTGTTTTAATAAATGAACCTACTCACACAATCACCAAGTTGTTTTAACGAATGAACCTAATCACATAACCACCAAGTTGTTTTAATGAATTAACCAAATCACACAACCACCAAGTTGTTTTAATGAATGAACCTAATCACACAACCACCAAGTTGTTTTAATGAATGAACCTAATCACACAACCACCAAGTTGTTTTAATAAATGAACCTAATCACACAACCACCAAGTTGTTTTAATAAATGAACCTAATCACACAACCACCAAGTTGTTTTAATAAATGAACCTAATCACACAACCACCAAGTTGTTTTAATAAATGAACCGAATCACACAACTATTATTGTGATGTAAAATAAGTATTGTGAATAAATGAATCTTTCTCTAAAGTTAAAACATTCACTTAATCTGTATTATATGAGATGAATAATACATAGAACAATTAATATATAAAATAAATCATATTGCAAATAAATAATAATATCAGATAAGTGATGTTCCGCTATCACATAAACATGTTTTATATAAACAATATATCAGGAATGAATATTCCACATACATAATAAATGTGATCAATAATATATCAGATGAATAATATATCGCATAAATATTATATCAGATGAATGATATATAAGATACTTTTCTTTCAGTTAATAAATAAATGGAAAGTGCACTGATTTCACTGCGCATAGGCCCTATTGATTCCACTGCATATAGGCCCTATTGATTTCACTGAACATAGGTCTTATTGATTTCAATGCTCATAGGCCCTATTGATTTCACTGCGCATAGGCCCTATTGATTTCACTGCGCATAGGCCCCATTGATTTCACTGCACATAGGCCCTATTGATTTCACTGCACACAGGCTCTATTGATTTCACTGCACATAGACTCTTTTGATTTCACTTCACATAGGCCTTAATGATTTCACTGCACATATGCCCTATTGATTTCACTGCACATATGCCCTTTTGATTTTACTACACACAGGCCCTATTGATTTTACTGCCCATAGGCCCTATAGATTTCACTGCACATAGGCCCTATTGATTTCACTGCGTATAGGCCCTATTGATTTCACTGCACATAGGCCCTATTGATTTCAATGCACATAGAACCTATTGATTCCACTACTCATAGGCCCTATTGATTTCACTGCACATAGACCCTATTGATTCCACTACTCATAGGCCCTGTTGATTTCACTGCGTATAGGCCCTATTGATTTCACTGCACATAGACACTATTGATTTCCCTGCACACAGGCCCTACTGATTTCACTGCACATAGGCCCTATTCATTACATCGCCGAAACTAACAATACTGAGACTTCCCCCCAAAACTATCAGCACTATACCTCACATCTTGAAAGCATACTAGTGTTTGTCAACGATGCAAAGTTCCAACTGGAAGGTGTCCCTAGAAGTGAAAATGGGGATATGACTAGCAGTTGTTGTAATGGAGTCTATCAGCGGAGTAAAAAGCATTCATAGTTGAACATGATGCTGATACACGAGGCAGCCTCAAGTAAAACAGTGTTTTTTAAAAATATGGCGTAAGGACAATTCCGAAAGATTTTTTTACAAAGAAACGACGTCATCAAGTAGGACAGTTCTAGAAAGGTATTCTGTTAATGGAAAGGAAAGTCTGACCGACCAGTAAGAAAATGTGACTTTCGTTAGGATAGCCAAACATTTCCAAAAAAAAATCTGGATCCTAGGTTGTACGCCATTGCCAACAAAATTTCTTAAGTACATCATCCTGTCTCGGACATCGATATTGCATCGATGTCCTTTAACAATATGTGAATCGATGGATGGCTGATAGTCAGTGTCAGTGAGGTCCATCACAAACTTTGTAAAGGAAAATGCAACAGCTGCCAGAAATCAAGTGCTTGATTTTCATTGTGGAAAAACTTAGTGGCTGAAACAGTGTGACTTGGTGCCTATACATCAGAACTGTGTGACTTGGTACCTATACATTAAAACTGTGTGAGTTGGTGCCTATACATCAGAACTGTGTGACTTGGTGCATTTACATCAGAACTGTGTGACTTGGTGCCTATACATCAGAACTGTATGACGTGGTTCCTATACATTAGAACTGTGTGACTTGGTGCCTATACATTAGAACTGTGTGACTTGGCGCCTATACATCAGAACTGTATGACGTGGTGCCTATACATCAGAACTGTGTGACTTGGCGCCTATACATTAGAACTGTGTGACTTGGCGCCTATACATCAGAACTGTATGACGTGGTGCCTATACATCAGAACTGTGTGACTTGGCGCCTATACATTAGAACTGTGTGACGTGGTGCCTATACATTAGAACTGTGTGACTTGGCGCCTATACATCAGAACTGTGTGACGTGGTGCCTATACATCAGAACTGTGTGACTTGGCGCCTATACATTAGAACTGTGTGACTTGGTGCCTATACATCAGAACTGTGTGACTTGGCGCCTATATTGGTGCCTATACATTAGAACTGTGTGACTTGGCGCCTATACATCAGAACTGTGTGACGTGGTGCCTATACATCAGAACTGTGTGACTTGGTGTCTATACATTAGAACTGTGTGACGTGGTGCCTATACATTAGAACTGTGTGACTTGGCGCCTATACATCAGAACTGTATGACGTGGTGCCTATACATCAGAACTGTGTGACTTGGCGCCTATACATTAGAACTGTGTGACTTGGTGCCTATACATCAGAACTGTGTGACTTGGCGCCTATACATTAGAACTGTGTGACTTGGCGCCTATACATCATAACTGTATGACGTGGTGCCTATACATTAGAACTGTGTGACTTGGTGCCTATACATCAGAACTGTATGACGTGGTGCCTATACATTAGAACTGTATGACGTGGTGCCTATACATTAGAACTGTGTGACTTGGTACCTTTACATCAGAACTGTGTGACTTGGTGCCTATACATTAGAACTGTGTGACTTGGTGCCTATACATTAGAACTGTGTGACTTGGTGCCCATACATTAGAACTGTGTGGCTTTGTGCCTATAAATTAGAACTGTGTGACTTGGTACCTATACATCAGAACTGTATGACGTGGTGCCTATACATTAGAACTGTGTGACTTGGTGCCTATACATTAGAACTGTATGACGTGGTGCCTATACATTAGAACTGTGTGACTTGGTACCTATACATTAGAACTGTATGACGTGGTGCCTATACATTAGAACTGTATGACGTGGTGCCTATACATTAGAACTGTGTGACTTGGTGCCTATACATTAGAACTGTGTGACATGGTGCCTATACATTAGACCTGTGTGACGTGGTGCCTATACATTAGAACTGTGTGACTTGGTGTCTTTACATCAGAACAATTTAAAACAAATATTTTATATAAATTTTATTGTGCTCTTAGACAATTTGACCCGAGACAAACAGTCAAAATCGAGAGCTTAATAAAATCGTGAAAAAAAAGACAGGACTATTAAAAGGAATAAGAAATAAATTAAAACAATTAACAACGCAAAACTCTCGACATCAAAAAAGAATGTCTGTCGACGTCACTTCCATCGCTTGTGTTGCATTGAATGCTATGTGCTCTGGGTTCAGTACATACACTAGCCACGTTTCTGTGTATCACAAGTGAATACACGCCTATTTATTTGTTAGACTTATTTTAAAGACATCCTTGATGATGGCGACATTACTCTTATGTCATCAATGGTCCACGTCTGCCAGTATGCGGTGCCTGTCGACAACAGCTGCCCGTCTGCGCACGGTGACCAAACCTTCTGGGGTGGACAGTGGCCGTAAACCTTGGCGCCAAGGACTAGCCGGAGTCTGTCGTAAGTAACGTGGCTTCAGAAGATGTTCTGTGCTATGAATTAACCGCTCGCCATTCAATGAATTAGCCAAATAATAGAGAGTTAATAAAAGATAAGAATTTACTAAATCGGCGAAAGCGGACAATTCGCGCCATGACGTCATTGACAGGTTTATTTAACTTAATACGTTTAGGTTTCAGGTTAGGTTAAAGGATAGGTTTAGTGATAGGTTTATTAATAGGTTTAGTGATAAATTTAGTGATAGGTTTAGTGATAGGTTTAGTGATAAATTTAGTGATAGGTTTAGTGATAGGTTTAGTGATAGGTTTAGTGATAGGTTTAGTGATATGTTTTAGATAAAGGTTTATTTTATGACGTTTATTGTTGTAATGTTTATTGACTGAACTCTGTGACGTAACTCTGTTACATGACCGGAAATAATAAGTTGTTTTCAGGAACGCTTAAACTTAAGAGTGTGAATATTGGCTGGAGAGTCGGAGTGAGCCGTCATGTCAAGTGGGGTATAAAAAGAATGTAGAAAAGTGTACACATTTGAGTTGATATTTTTATTTATACAATTACACCGACCCCTAATATGGGTATTCTTGAAAACAAATAGCCAAAACAGAAGACACATTAAAAAAAACAACTAAAACAACATTCATTTTTTTCGAGTGGATGAGAGTATAGTAAACATACTTTTTATGTGCCTCGGTCCATCTATAATAAGTATTCAAGAATCTTTGATGTAAATTTGAATGACATTATTTTATAGAAGCACGGATGTTTGACGCTGATGTCTTGGCGGGCTTTAAGTTAAGGAGCTGGGTACACAGCAGATGCCCGGACGAGAGACTGCTGAGAGGTATCTGGAGCCATGGTGGAAGCAATGTCTGGAAATACCTGAGCCAGGACCTTGGACCTCTTACCTACAACTACCGCAGTCTGCATCTGACTCCTGCCTACACCTGTAACATCCCAGTCGTGTTACCTGTGAGTTCCTGTCACTCGCCGTTCCACTTACTAGTAGAATAACAGCTGTGTAATCTGTCACAATGAGTAGCATAGCAGCTCTGTATTCTGTCACGAGTTACATAACAGTTCTGTATTCTGTCACAACTAGTTACGTAACAGCTCTGTAATCCATCACAGTGAGTAGCATAATAGCACTGTATTCTGTCACAACCAGTTATATAAGAGCTCTGTAACATGCCACATCTTGTAACATAACAGCTCTGTAATCTGTCAGTACTTGCAACATAGCAGCTCTGTATTCTGTTCCAACCAGTTATATAACAGCTGTGTAGCATGCCACAACTTGTAACATAACAGATCTGTAATCTGTCAGTACTTGCAACATAGCAGTTCTGTATTCTGTCCCAACTAGTTATATAACAGCTCTGTAGCATGCCACAACTTGTAACATAACAGATCTGTAATCTGTCAGTACTTGTAACATAGCAGCTCTGTATTCTGTCCCAACTAGCAACATAACAGTTCTGTAACCTGTAGACCAGCCATCTGTTTAGTGTTAAGGTACCAGCACAGTCTTGTCTTATTTTCTTGATACTACACAACACATTGAGCACCATTTAACTGTACATACAATAACACTTAACAAGCCTTCAATCTTCTCTTTGAAACGTAAAGCTTTTAGTGTACACCCAATTTTTTCCCACTAACTCATAAAGTAAACTTACATCTAAATTATAAATTAAAAAAAATATAAGAGACCTTTTGATTCAGTTGTAGTAGATCTAATGTTTGCTTTGTGTCATGTTGCGTAGGAAAAATGGGGGAAGGGGGGGGGGGGCGTTACGCATCAGATGGGACATTTTTGTTTGTATGGAGTTGTGGCCACCACAGCAGTTTTTTTTCTCTTTCCCTGAAAACTGAAAGGGTGGTGGCAAAATGTGTGGTTCTTACATCTAAATTATAAATTAAAAAAAATATAAGAGACCTTTTGATTCAGTTGTAGTAGATCTAATGTTTGCTTTGTGTCATGTTGCGTAGGAAAAATGGGGGAAGGGGGGGGGGCGTTACGCATCAGATGGGACATTTTTGTTTGTATGGAGTTGTGGCCACCACAGCAGTTTTTTTTCTCTTTCCCTGAAAACTGAAAGGGTGGTGGCAAAATGTGTGGTTCATCCTGCGTGGCACTCATCATGGCTACGCCCCTGTTTGCACCTATTATATATATATTTTTTTAAAAATGCGACAAGTTAGCAGACGACATTCGTAAGACATCTATAAGAAATACATTGCCATTAAAGAAATCCATGAATATTTGTCTACAGGCATTTATCCCCGTGGCAGACGAGAAACTGGGGCCGACCCTGATCACAGATATGAGCCAGGAGGACCAGCTCAGGATAAAGCATCTGGCGTACGAAGAGATGAAGCCGTTCCTGTCCAACAACAAAGTCAAGTATAAATCTAGACCGACGGCTGAGATAGCTCGTCAAGGTCAGTCTCGCGCATGCGCGGCAAGAGCAAATAAATTTAAAAAAAAAAAAAATAAATAAATAAAACACACCTGTACCTACAGGTACAGACTTTCCTGAAATGATAATCGGAGGAGAATTTGTTTTTGAGTTTATTGGACAGATATTAAATGCGTTGGAAAATAATTCGTCCGATTAGTTGATCCAGTGTCATGCGAGGCGGGTCGGTGGAAGCTGCCCCCAGGAGGGTCACCTTCTGTCCAGCTTTGACCCGGACGCAACGTTTCCTTCGCACGGCACTGCGCATTGTGTCACGTGACACATTTGAATTCGTGCAGAGTGATGTTATTCAGATATGTATTGTTTTTTTTGTTTTTTTGTGTGGTGGCATTACTGTTAATTAAACCCTGTGCTGTCATCGTTAAATCTATTCCCCGCTATATTGCTGAAATACTTTTGTTGTTCTCGTGACAAACTTGCTAGCACGTGGCTCTTCTCATGAATAGCTACCACGTTGCTCTTCCCATGACTAGCTACCACGTTGCTCTTCCCAATGACTAGCTACCACGTTGCTCTTTCCAATGACGAGCCACCACGTTGCTCTTCCCATGACTAGCTACCACTTTGCTCTTCCCAATGACTAGCTACCACGTGGCTCTTCCCATGAATAGCTACCACGTTGCTCTTCCCAATGACTAGCTACCACGTTGCTCTTCCCATGAGTAGCTACCACGTGGCTCTTCCCAATGACTAGCTACCACGCTGCTCTTTCCAATGACTAGCTACCACGTTGCTCTTCGTAATGACTAGCTACCACTTTGCTCTTCCCAATGACTAGCTACCATGTGGCTCTTCCAAATGACTAGCTAACACGTTGCTCTTCCAAATGACTAGCTACCACGTTGCTCTTCCCAATGACTAGCTACCACGTGGCTCTTCCCAATGACTAGCTACCACGTTGCTCTTCCCAATGACTAGCTACCACGTGGCTCTTCCCAATGACTAGCTACCACGTGGCTCTTCCCAATGACTAGCTACCACGTTGCTCTTCCCAATGACTAGCTACCACGTTACTCTTCCCAATGACTAGCTACCACTTTGGTCTTCCCAATGACTAGCTACCACGTTGCTCTTACCAATGACTAGCTACCACGTGGCTCTTCCCAATGACTAGCTACCACGTGGCTCTTCCAAATGACTAGCTACCACGTTGCTCTTCCCAATGACTAGCTACCACGTTGCTCTTCGTAATGACTAGCTACCACGTGGCTCTTCCCAATGACTAGCTACCACGTGGCTCTTCCAAATGACTAGCTAACACGTTGCTCTTCCAAATGACTAGCTACCACGTTGTTCTTCCCAATGACTAGCTATGACCTGGCTTATCCCAATGACTAGCTACCACGTTGCTCTTCCCAGTGACTAGCTACCATGTGGCTCTTCCCAATGACTAGCTACCACGTTGGTCTTCCCATTGTACTCGTTGCATTTCTTAATTGTTTGTTTAAAACTGTGACAGTGGTACAAAATTGTGGCTGTGATAGGTGTACACAATTTGAGCCGTGACAGGTTTACAAAATTTAACTGTTACATAGTGTACAAATTATCTGTGAAAGGCCTGCACAGTTTTAGCCGTGACAGGTGTATATAACTTCGTGTTTTATTTGAATGGGTAAAGATAAGTCGGTTCAGTTATAAATATCTTGATCAATGCCATGGAGGTGATGTGATGGGAAGGGGGGAGCTAGACAGTTCTACAATGTTGGGACACATGAGAAGCAGACGTATGTTGGCCAGAGTTGATGACGTATGGAATCTGTGTCATACAGTTGGCGTTGCATAATAATTGTATGATAGGTCTAGCTAACCTCCTGGTCTGTCCTGCTTAAAGTGATAGTATGATTGTCAATCTCTACGTAAAGTGATGGTATGATTGTCAATCTCTACTTAAAGTGATGGTATGATTGTCAATCTCTACGTAAAGTGATGGTATGATTCTCAATCTCTACGTAAAGTGATGGTATGATTGTCAATCTCTACGTAAAGTGATGGTATGATTGTCAATCTCTCCGTAAAGTGATGGTATGATTGGCAGTCTATACTTAAAGTGATGGTATGATTGTCAGTCTGTACCTAAAGTGATGGTATGATTGGCAGTCTCTACTTAAAGTGATGGTATGATTGACAGTCCGGTTAAAACCCAGCGGTAAATGAAATACAGCTCTCATCTTGAGGAAACACGAATATTACACAACAAGGCTACCATCTCCAGTCAAATCTAACACTGGGCAAAGATGATTCTATATCTAGACAAATCTAACATTGGGCCAAGATGGTACTATCTCTAGATAAAGCTAACATTGGGCCATTTCTAAAAAAGCTAAAATTAGGCCAATATGGTACCATCTCTAGACTACGTTCTATTGGTCCACAAGTCTACCCAAAAAGATTATAATGAAATTAGAGCAATTCATAATCCCTTTAAAAAGAACAACCAATAAAAACTTTTGCTGTCATCAAACCATGACACCTAGGGGCCTACTGAACACGTGACCTTGGTACCTACTGAACACGTGACCTAGGTGTCTACTGAACACGTGACCTTGGTACCATGATGTCTGAACTTAGATTTTTGTTCACAGTCTATGGAGGTTCATCGATGTTTGGGACAGCACTTGCATTGCTTGCCAACATGGACATTCAAGCTAAGAAAATTAATCCCAACTTCAAAGTCCCCCTAGTGTTTAAATTGGTAAGAAAAACTTGCTCTATTGGCTTTTTATGTGCTAATTTCAGTGGCAAGATACACATTTTATTCAAGTTTTTAAACTGGAATGGGATTATGATGAGATACTCTCTAGAGCACAACTTTCCTTAACCATAGATTCTGACACCAATGTGGGTGGCAAACGGGTTTTTGCTGGGGGAAAACATTCGACTGAAATAAATTAGTTGAAAATAACTTTGAATCCATGAAGGCCTACAAAAATCGCGTTACGTGACGGCTATGATAACAGTCTTGGTCAAACTTTAAGACGTCGGTCAAAACTCGGCAGTTTAAAATATAACACAGATCACCAAATAGTTTAAATGTTAAACACACCATCACAATAGATAAAATGCTACACACACCACCACAATAGATAAAATGTTACACACACCACCACAAAAGATAAAATGTTACACACACCACCACAATAGTTTATATGTTACACACACCACAACAATAGATAAAATGTTACACATACCACAAGAATAGATAATATGTTACACACACCACAATAATAGATAAAATGTTACACACACCACAACAATAGATAAAATGTTACACACATCACAATAATAGATAAAATGTTAAACACACCACCACAATAGATAAAATGTTACACACACCACTACAATAGATAAAATGTTACACACACCACCACAATAGATAAAATGTTACACACACCACTACAATAGATAAAACGTTACACACACCAGCACAAGAGATAACATGTTACACACATCAATACAAAAGATAAAATATTACACACATCACAACAATAGATAAAACAATACACATCACAACAATAAATAAAATGTTACACACATCACAACAATAGATAAAATATTACACACACCACCACAATAGATAAAATGTTAAATACACCACCACAATAGATAAAATGTTACACACACCACCACAATAGATAAAATGTTACACACACCACAACAATAGATAAAATGTTACACACACCAGTACAATTGATAAAATGTTACACACACCACCACAATAGATAAAATGTTACACACACCAGCACAATAGATAACATGTTACACACATAAATACAATAGATAAAATGTTACACACATCACAACAATAGATAAAATGTTACACACATCACAATAATAGATAAAATGTAACACACATCACAATAATAGATAAAATGTTACACACACCACTATAATAGATAAAATGTAACATACATCACAATAATAGATAAAATGTTACACACACCACCACCATAGATAAAATGTTACACACACCACCACAATAGATAAAATGATACACGCATCAATACAATAGATAAAATCTTACACATCACAACATAGATAAAATGTTACACACATCACCACAATAGATAAAATGTTAAACACATCAAAATAATATATAAAATGTTAAACACATCACAATAATAGATAAAATGTTACACACTTCACAATTATAGATAAAATGTTACACACACCACTATAATAGATAAAATGTTACACACACCACTACAATAGATAAAATGTTACACACACCACCACAATAGATAAAATGTTACACACCACTATAATAGATAAAATGTAACATACATCACAATAATAGATAAAATGTTACACACACCACCACAATAGATAAAGTGTTACACACACCACCACAATAGATAAAATGATACACACACCATCACAATAGATAAAATGTTACACACACAACCACAATACATAAAATATTACACACACCACTACAATAGATAAAATGTTACACACACCAGCACAATAGATAACATGATACACACATCAATACAATAGATAAAATGTTACACACATCACAACAATAGATAACATGTTACACATCACAACAATAGATACAATGTTACACACATCACAAGAATAGATAAAATGTCACACAAATCACAATAATAGATAAAATATTACGCACACAACCACAATAGATACAATATTACACACACCACCATAACAGATAAAATGTTACACACACCACCACAATAGATAAAATGTTACACACACCACAACAATAGATGAAATGTTACCCACACCACCACAATAGATAAAATGTTACACACATCACAATAATAGATAAAATGTTAGACACACCACCACAATAGATAAAATGTTACACACATCACAATAATAGATAAAATGTTACACACAGCACAATAATAGATAAAATGTTACACACATAACCACAATAGATAAAATGTTACACACGCCACCACAATAGATAAAATGATACACAAACCACTACAATAGATAAAATGTTACACACACCACCACAATAGATAAAATGTTACTCACACCAGCACAATAGATAAAATGTTACACACACCACTACAATAGATAAAATGTTACTCACACCAGCACAATACATAACATGTTACACACATCACAACAATAGATAAAATGTTACACATCACAACATTTGATAAAATGTTAAACACATCACAAGAATAGATACAATGTTACACACATCACAAGAATAGATAAAATGTCACACACATCACAATATAGATAAAATATTACGCACATCACCGCTAGATAAAATGTTACACACACCACAACAATAGATAAACTGTTAGCCACACCACCACAATAGATAAAATATTACACACATCACAATTATAGATAAAATGTTACACACACCACCACAATAGATAAAATGTTACACACATCAAAATAATAGATAAAATGTTACACACATCACAATAATAGATAAAATGTTACACACAGCACAAAAATAGATAAAATGTTGTACACATCACAAGTATAGATAAAATTTTACACACACTGCCAGAATAGATAAAATGTTACACACACCACCACAATATTTTAAATATCACCACACCACCACAATAGTTTCCAGATCTGTACTGCGATTCATTCTTAGTCCCCCCCCCTCCCCACCGACAACATCATTTTTTTCCCTTGCCTGTGCTATAGTTCTTAGGCCACATTCATCTGTTTGGACACAAGACTCAAGGTATATTGCAAACAGACGGTTCGGATGACAACGTCTTGGTAGGTCTCACAATGCGATGGTAGGGCTCACAAAGTCAAGGTAGGTCTCACAAAGTCAAGGAAGGTCTCACAAAATCAAGGTAGGTCTCACAAATTCAAGGTAGGTCTTACAAAGGCAAGTATGTCAAACTTAGCCAAAAAAAGTGTTGTCAGTGATCATACAGACCTAACTGTTCCTCTGGACATTTCCTCATACCAACCTAACTGTTCCTCTGAACATGTCCTCATACCAACCTAACTGTTGCTCTGAACATGTTCTCATACCAACCCAACTGTCCCTCTGAACATGTCCTCATACCAACCTAACCGTCCCTCTGAACATGTCCTCATACCAACCTAACCGTCCCTCTGAACATGTCCTCATATTAACATAACTGTCACTCTGAACATGTCCTCATACCAACCTAACTGTCCCTCTGAACATGTCCTCATAACAACCCAACTGTTCCTCTGAATATGTTTGGTCAAGTTGAGTTCACCTTAGTTCCTCATACTGTTATGGCCATGTTTGTTTTTGATTTGAAATCCCGTAGTCTCTCTCTCTCCCTCCCTCCCTCCCCTCTCTCTCTCTCTCTCTCTCTCTCTCTCTCTCTCTCTCTCTCTCTCTCTCTTTTTTTATCCCTCTTTCTCTCTCTCTTGTTTTATGGTCTTGTTACGTTTGTTTAGAAAGCCCATATTCTCTCTCTCTTCCCCCCTGTTCCTCTGTATATGTTTGTTCAAGTTGAGTTCACCTTAGTTCCTCACACTGTTATGTCCATGTTTGTTTTTGTTTTGAAATCCCGTAGTCTCTCTCTCTCCCTCCCTCCCTCCCCTCTCTCTCTCTCTCTCTCTCTCTCTCTCTCTCTCTCTCTCTCTCTCTCTCTTTGTTAATCCCTCTTTGTCAATCTCTTGTGTTATGGTCATGTTACGTTTGATTAGAAAGCCCATATTCTCTCTCTCTGCGTCAAGCTCTTGAAGAAAGAGATTGAAGAGAAGTTCAATGTCGACAGTATGTTTCGTATCTCTGGGAACTACTCAGTGCACGATGTTTCGTCAACCTTCAAACACTTTCTAAAAGAGCTGCCAGTGCCACTGATAACAACGGAGAAGATTGAGTTATTTCCAGAGATGTTCTGTGAGTACTTGCGTAGCAACAATAAGATGTGTGACAGTCAGAAGAGTGATTCGATAGATTGCCTTGCTGAAGATGTGAGAGTCAGAAGAGCGATTCGATATATTGCCTTGCTGAAGATGTGAGAGTCAGAAGAGTGATTCGATAGATTGCTTTGCTGAAGATGTGAGAGTCAGAAGAGTGATTCGATAGATTGCCTTGCTGAAGATGTGAGAGTCAGAAGAGTGATTCGATAGATTGCCTTGCTGAAGATGTGAGAGTCAGAAGAGCGATTCGATAGATTGCCTTGCTGAAGATGTGAGAGTCAGAAGAGTGATTCGATAGATTGCCTTGCTGAAGATGTGAGAGTCAGAAGAGTGATTCGATAGATTGCCTTGCTGAAGATGTGAGAGTCAGAAGAGTGATTCGATAGATTGCCTTGCTGAAGATGTGAGAGTCAGAAGAGTGATTCGATAGATTGCCTTGCTGAAGATGTGAGAGTCAGAAGAGTGATTCGATAGATTGCCTTCCTGAAGGGTATCAGAGTCTAATAAAGAAAATCTGATACAAACTATTGGCGGGTATTTGCGATATGCATACTTGTGACTTGGGTGCTTGTGACTTGGGTGCTTGTGACTTGGGTGCTTGTGACTTGGGTGCTTGTGACTTGGGTGCTTGTGACTTGGGTGCTTGTGATATGAGTACTGGTAGAAAAAAGCGTGTACTTGCTTTTGATGTGTGTACTTTATAAGGAGCCAGCCTCTCCATTTATTTCGTATCCAGTCCAACCTTTAGGACTACGTCATGTGAACGTCGTTCATTAAAGCTGTTAGCATCTGTACAAGTCTCTGTATCGTTAAAAGAAATTAGCTTTGAACTTTCTAGTCAACCAATGAAGATGACTGTGTTGCCAGTCCTTGGTACTTTCTAGTCAACCAATGAAGATGACTGCGTTGCCAGTCCTTGGTACTTTCTAGTCAACCAATGAAGATGACTGCGTTGCCAGTCCTTGTTATTTTCTAGTCAACCAATGAAGATGAATGCGTTGCCAGTCCTTGGTACTTTCTAGTCAACCAATGAAGATGACTGCGTTGCCAGTCCTTGGTATTTTCTAGTCAACCAATGAAGATGAATGCGTTGCCAGTCCTTGGTACTTTCTAGTCAACCAATGAAGATGACTGCGTTGCCAGTCCTTGGTACTTTCTAGGCAACCAATGAAGATGACTGCGTTGCCAGTCCTTGGTATTTTCTAGTCAACCAATGAAGTTGACTGCGTTGAGAGTCCTTGGTACTTTCTAGTCAACCAATGAAGATGAATGCGTTGCCAGTCCTTGGTACTTTCTAGTCAACCAATGAAGATGACTGCGTTGCCAGTCCTTCGTACTTTCTAGTCAACCAATGAAGATGACTGTGTTGCCAGTCCTGGGTTTAACATTGAAAGCTCTTTCTGTATGCACCACAGTGACATTTGATTTTTTTCGTTATAAATTGATGTGCTTTTTTAAAAAAAAATTATTTTTACATTTGACCTTCTCAGCCCTTGATTTTCTGGAGAAACAGATGATTGGAATGAATCTGTATATATTGATGATGAATCCAGAACATAGGGATTCATTGGAGGTAGGCAAGAATGTTTAAACTTGCAATGTAGAATGAAGCGAAAGAATGAACTCACTGCCCAACTAGGCTCTGGAGATTCCTTTACAACAAATCTGCTTACTTCATGCAGTGCAATGGAGCAGTCATACAAGGCGTTAACTTATGGGACGCCCTGAGTATCACCACCCCAAAGTACAACCATAAAGGTGGCTAGGGCACCCGTATTGTTACCGCCCCAAACCACCCTTCGCGTCACCGCCCTAAAGCACAACAAAAAAGGTTGCTAGGGACCATTAGTGTCACCGACTAAAAAGCACCCTTCGCGTCACCGCCCCAAAGCACCCTTATTGTCACCATCCCAAAGCACAACAATAAAGTTGGCTAGGGCACCCTTAGTGTCACAGCCCCAAAGCACCACCCCAAAGCACCCCCCAAAGCACCCCCCAAAGCACCGCAATAAGGGTGTCTAGGGCACCCTTAGTGTCACCGCCCCAAAGCATCCCCCCCTTAAGGGTGGCTAGTGAAGCAAAAACCGATGCAAGGATTTACAAAGTTGTTTAAAATATTTTAAAGGATTTTGAGTGAAGTGTTTGAATTGTGTGCCACCTCAACCTTATCCATTTCAATACACTAAGATAAATACGGGCACTCTGTAAGAGCTATAACAGATTCATTTTCCCCATTCACATGTGTGGCTAATTCATTTCCCTATTCACCTGTGCGGCTAATTCACCTGTGCGGCTAATTCACCTGTGCGGCTAATTCATCTCCCTATTCACATGTGTGGCTAATTCATCTCCCTATTCACCTGTGTGGCTAATTCACCTGTATACCTAATTCGCCTGTGTGGCTAATTCTTCTCCCTCAATTCATGTGTGTGGCTAATTCATCTCCCCATTCATGTGTGCTGCTAACTCATCTCCCTCTTTACCTGTGTGGCTAATGCACCTTTGTGGCTAATTCACCTTTGTGGCTAATTCACCTTTTTGGCTAATTCACCTTTGTGGCTAATTCACCTTTGTGGCTAATTCTTCTCCCCCCCCCCCCATTCACGTGTGTGGCTAATTCTTCTCACTGATTTCACACCCATGATCACCTACGTGGAGGACTACTTCCTCTCCCGCGCAAAGCAGTTAATGGAAACAATGGATACCTTTCTAACCCCCCCCCAACCCCTAACCCCCCACGCCCTAGTTCCTCTTGTGTTTCATGTCAGCGCTCACCGACTTTGTGACCTTTAACGGGATGGATGCGGCCAGCCTCGCCAATGCCCTGGCGCCCTTCGTCTTCAAGGTCAATGCGGGAGATGACCGGACACGGCTGAACAAACTGACCAACGCGCTGAGAGTAATGATCCACTACCATCTTTTACTTTTTTATGTGAGTCAAGCAGAACATTCCAGTATTAGGTCGGAGTATGAAGAGCGCGTCGGTTTAAAAAAGAAATGAATATAAATGAACAGTTTGTACGAGTAAAATAAAAAGCATAGTTTTTAGTCCAAATATAACATCAAATGAAGATTCAAATGATTTTGTTACAATTAAACTATATAATCAGGTAAGCCCTCGAAATCATAAATTATGTACATAACTTTATTCTAAGGCAATTATTTTTCTATGTTGGTTTCGATGGATAAAAAATGCGCAAGGTGTACTGCCGCTAGAGATCAAACAAAGCTTAAGCCAACATAGTCATGTAGTCCGCCTAGAGTTTACACCCAGCCTAGGCCAACATAGTCATGTAGTCCGCCTAGAGTTTACACCCAGCCTAAGCCAACATAGTCATGTAGTCCGCCTAGAGTTTACACCCAGCTTAAACCAACATTGTCATGTAGTCCGCCTAGAGTTTACACCCAGACTAAGCCAACATAGTCATGTAGTCCGCCTAGGGTTCACTCCCAGCCTAGGCCAACATAGTCAAGTATTCCGCCTAGAGTTTACACCTAGACTAAGCCAACATAGTCATGTAGTCCGCCTAGGGTTCACTCTCAGCCTAGGCCAACATAGTCATGTAGTCCGCCTAGAGTTTACACCCAGACTAAGCCAACATAGTCATGTAGTCCGCCTAGGGTTCACTCCCAGCCTAGGCCAACATAGTCATGTAGTCCGCTTAGAGTTTACACCCAGCCTAAGCCAACATAGTCATGTAGTCCACCTATAGCTCACACCCAGTCTAAACCAACATAGTCATGCAGTCCACCTAGATTTCACAACCAGCCTAAGTCAACATAGTCATGTAGTGCACCTAGAGCTCACAACCAGTCTAAGCCAACATAGTCATGTAGTCCACCTAGAGCTTACACCCAGCCTAAGCCAACATAGTCATGTAGTCCACCTAGATCTTACACCCAGCCTAAGCCAACATAGTCATTTTGATTTGCAAAACGTTCAATAAACACCATGCTAATCTACCCCAGGTGCCACCACAGTTGATCAAGAAACTCAGGTACCAGTACGAGAAAGGTGAACCCCCCAAGCCGCAGCCAGGTGTAAGTAATCCTAAAGCTCTTAACAATTTATTTTAAGTTCGTTTACAAGATTACTTCTGCGCATTTACAAGACAACTTTTTAATCATGTTGTAAAACAAATAAAACACATTTAAAAAAATATATATTTAATTTGTTCTCTCTGGATATTAATTTTTTCTCTTTTATGACCTTGACCTTTTAGTTAAAGTTGACATAACAATTTCAACAATAATCTTAATAATTTGATCATTTCACCCTTATTTTCAGTTCTTGTTTGGAAAGAAAAAGACCAAAGAGCTTGAACCAGACAAAAAATTGGTAAAAAATTAAGTTGTATCAGTTGCTAACATGATTGGTGTAATACACAATCAGATGCGTAGTTTTGATTGCCTCACTTGCATTTAATATGATAAGTTTTCATTGACAAAAAAAAAAAAAAAAGGGGGGGGGGGGGAAGAAAAAGACTTTAAATATCACCAGCTTCAGGCGAGTTGCGCCCCTGTGCTTACGTTTCAAGTCATTTCTGCTATTTGCCTAAGTCAAGTCTCATAAGTTATGTCAATCTTTAAGTCTGCGTAAGAATTATTTTTTGAAGTGTCTTCAAGTTAGGTTGGAAAAACATATGTGATTCACCATGTTAAAACTATTTCTGTATGGAATCAAAAATTGCCATACCCAGTAGACCTAAGTAATCGAGTAAAGTTCCTGGTAACTTTCTGTGTGACCCATTTAGGAGAAGATCAAGGTGACGAGACTCGAAGTACGAGCACCGGATTTGCCGATACGTATAAAGGTTATGAAAGTTGACGAGGACACAAAGGCGGGAGACCTTATGAAGGAATACATAAGCCTGTCCAGGTAAGATGTCACATCTGTTAACATAAGCCTGTCCAGGTAAGATGTCACATCTGTTAACATAAGCCTGTCCAGGTAAGATGTCACATCTGTTAACATAAGCCTGTCCAGGTAAGATGTCACATCTGGTAACATAAGCCTGTCCAGGTAAGATGTCACATCTGGTAACATAAGCCTGTCCAGGTAAGATGTCACATCTGTTAACATAAGCCTGTCCAGGTAAGATGTCACATCTGGTAACATAAGCCTGTCCAGGTAAGATGTCACATCTGTTAACATAAGCCTGTCCAGGTAAGATGTCACCTCTGTTAATATAAGCTTATCTACGTAAGATGTCCCATCTGTTAATATAAGCCAATCTAAGTAAGATGTCACATCTGTTAATATAAGCCAATGTACGTAAGCTGTCACATCTGTTAATATAAGCCAACCTACGTAAGATGTCACATCTGTTAATATAAGCCAACCTACGTAAGATGTCACATCTGTTAATATAAGCCAACCTACGTAAGATGTCACATCTGTTAATATAAGCCAATCTACGTAAATAGAATTTAGATTAAGTAATTATACATAGGCCAATCTACGTAAGATAAACTTTGGTTTAACCTTGGCCTAAGAGAATCTATGTAAGATGGCACATTGATTAACATATACCTAAATCAATTTTCACAAGACAGCATTTGGAATAACGTATGTCTAAGCCTATCTACGTAAGATATTTGAGTAAACTTTACATAAGCCAATTTCCTGAAGACAGCGCATCGGTTGAGGTGTACATCTTGTCTCGTGAGATTACAAACTAGTGTGTATTACTTGCGCAGTAAGTTGACATTTATGCATAATATACAGTGCCAGTGATACTATTACATTTGTATCATGTGCACCTCTTGTTGAATGATGTGCAGTTCTTGTTGAATGATGTGCCCTCCTTGCTGCGTCATATGCGCTCCTTGTTGAATCATGTGCACTCCTTCTTTCATTGTGTATACCTTTTTTTGCTTGATGTACATCAATTGTGTGATTATATTAACTTTTTGCCTTCATAAAATCTAACTATTCATAAAATCTAACTATTCATAAAATCTAACTATTCATAAAATCTAACTATTCATACAATCTAACTATTCATAAAATCTAACTATTCATAAAATCTAACTATTCATAAAATCTAACTATTAATAAAATCTAACTATTCATAAAATCTAACTATTCATAAAATCTAACTATTCATAAAATCTAACTATTCATAAAATCTAACTATTCATAAAATCTAACTATTCATAAAATCTAACTATTCATAAAATCTAACTATTCATAAAATCTAACTATTCATAAAATCTAACTATTCATAAAATCTAACTATTCATAAAATCTAACTATTCATAAAATCTAACTATTCATAAAATCTAACTATTCATAAAATCTAACTATTCATAAAATCTAACTATTCATAAAATCTAACTATTCATAAAATCTAACTATTCATAAAACCTAACTATTCATAAAATCTAACTATTCATAAAATCTAACTATTCATAAAATCTAAATTTTCATAAAATCTAAATTTTCATAAAATCTAAATTTTCATAAAATCTAACTATTCGTAAAATCTAACCAACAGCATTGAAAGGCGTGCTCAGAGTGAAATGGTCCAAGTTCGTGTTGACATGGGCATAGACGCCACGCCCCTGGAAGAGTTTCACTTGTATGAAATGAATGGAAACATTGGTAAGAACAGCTGATGAATTAGTGGGACGGGGGTGGGGGGATGACCTTGTCTTTGCATTGGGGATGAATACTGCATACAGTTGTGAGTTGGCTGGCCACTGGGGGTGCAGTTGTCACACTGTACGCTTCACCAAGTGCAGTTATCACACTGTTGGTACACTTCACTGAGTGAAGTTATCACACTGTTGGTACACTTCAATGAGCTCACTTGTCACACTGAATGTATGCCTTGAGTTGAATTGTCACTGCGCTCAGTTGTCAATGTGACTTGACCTGTGACTGAGGTTAGTGATACATAGTGTATTTGCCAGGGGTACTTAGTCATTTGCATAAATGACAGCTGCCAGGAAAAAAACACTAACAAATGACTAAAAATTAGAAAAGAATTTATTCCATCAAAAAAGAAACGAGGGGAATGGTGGACATTCAGAAACTATGTATATTCTCAAGACTCCATAAACAGAAACTATAAATGTGCTCACGACTCAATAAACAGAAACTATGAATGTTCTCATGACTCAATAAACAGAAACTATGAATGTTCTCATGACTCAATAAACAGAAACTATGAATGTTCTCATGACTCAATTAACAGAAACTATACAGGTTCTCATGAATCAATTAACAGAAACTATGAATGTTCTCATGACTCAATAAAAAGAAACTATGCATTTTCCCATGACTCAATAAACAGAAACTATGAATGTTCTCATGACTCAATAAACAGAAACTATGCATTTTATCATGACTCAATAAACAGAAACTATGAATGTTCTCATGACTCAATAAACAGAAACTATGAATGTTCTCATGACTCAATAAACAGAAACTATACAGGTTCTCATGAATCAATAAACAGAAACTATGAATGTTCTCATAATTCAATAAACAGAAACTATGAATGTTCTCATGATTCAATAAACACTTCAGACCTATTTTAAACACATCTAAAACAAATCGTCCATCACTTTAAAGTTGTTTAATCGTGACATAACCTCGTCTCAAACTAACTTTGTTGACACCGTGTTGTCCACAGGTCACAGACTGATTAATCCCGAGACGAAAATACTGGATGTTTATCGCACCAATCCCAATGGAGATTTCGTCATCTCCAAACGCTCGAAGCTTGTGTAGAAAGATAAATGAACTATGGAAAGGTCATTAGGTCATAGAACACAGGTCTTCGGTCAGAGATCACAGGCGACTGTTGCGCGAATATTTTATATTTAAGATTTTTGTTTTTTTTAATAAAGTTAAAAAATCACCGATGCATCTTTTGTACAATTTTGTAATGTTTATCATTAATATAATTGTATATTCTTTGGTTACAGTTGAATTGTTGATAAGCATTTGTTGATTACAAATATTGTGTTCTTGTTATTAATGTCATCGATTTTTTTTTTCTAAGAAATGTTTTGCATAAAAATTACTGCATCTTTCCATTTAAAATCAAAAACGGTCAACCCCCACCCCCCCCCTTATTTATAGCATCTGGCTAACTTTGCCAATTATACATTCTAAGTTATTTCACTAAAGCAGTTTTCGTACAGACTAAAAGAAAATGTTATTTAAATTAAGAAATGTGGAGGAAACGTGGATAAATTCCTTCCAAAATAAACATGATTTTTTAAAACAACTCAAAATGGCAAGCTACTCAGGTTTAAAAAATTTTGGGGAGAAAAAAATAGTCAACTATACAATTTTGGTGAATACGTGGGAATAAAGCCAAAGGTCTTGATTAGTTATGTCTTTGTCAAAAGACTGGGTTAGTTGTTATGTCTTTGTCAAAGGCCTGAATTTGTCATGTCTTTGTCAAAGGTCTGGATTAGTTGTTATGTCTTTGTAAAAGGTCTGGGTTAGTTGTTATGTCTTTGTCAAAGGTCTGGGTTAGTTGTTATGTCTTTGTCAAAGGTCTGGGTTAGTTTTTATGTCTTTGTCAAAGGTCTGGGTTAGTTGTTATGTCTTTGTGAAGGTCTGGGTTAGTTGTTATGTCTTTGTCAAAGTACTGGTGTTACAGAGAGCTGGTTTACATAATATTTCTCGTGCGTGCCCTCTGATTGACCCCGCATGAGACGCTGTGTTCACAAAGGGGTGTGGCTTAGGCTTTTGATGTATTCTTGTTTATGCCGCCAGCCACTAAAAATAATTAATCTGTTCCAGATAGTATTTTGTAGAATAAATCTGATTTTTCTAGAACTGCCGTGTAGCTTATCGAAGG